TTGGGAACGGAGATTTCCATCCCCTTTTGGGGGGGGGGGGGGGGGGGGGTGTAATCATGTCAACGCATTCCGCTAGACCGTGACCGCACACCTCTACAACCCAGGGATGAGCCAGAGTTACGCCGGCCCAGGCTACGTTTCACAAGGGGGGAGGTTGCATTGTCGTTCTGTGGAGGGCAGCGTCGAAGAGGATAAGGTGGGAGCGGCGGGGACCGGGATGAGGTGCGGCTAGCTCGCAAACAAATAGGACGGCATATAGAAACTAACAAACGAAACCACGGCAGCAGCAGCAGCAGGAGCCTTTCCAACAGCGGACCTGCAGCGGTGTCGTGGAGACGAAGTGTTTCCTAACGAAGGTCACGAAGGCGGCGGCGTCCTCCCAGGTTGACATCCACCCCAGCGACACTCGAACCAGGCCGGTAGGCCGGCCGTCGATGAGGTCGTGCTCGTCCCAGCAGACGTGGCCTCTTTGTTGTGGCGGCGGGATAAAAACAAAAGCGAGAACAGCAAGAAATGTGAGCACCACCTAGCGGCTACAAAGAGAGGAAGAGAGAGGGGGGGGGGAGAGAGAGAGGGAGAGAGAGAGACAGAGGCAGAGAGAGGGGGGGGGAGAGAGAGAGAGAAACTACCAAGCATGGTTCAGGCACGTGAAAGTCACCCAAAGCAAGGCCAGGAGGTCATTCTGCCTCGGCGACATCTTAGGGTCATGCCTATATCGAGAAGTAACAAGGTGTCGTTTATACCCAACAAACACGCCATCACCGCAACACACCACATCCCATCCGCCGGAAAAAGTCAAAGGAATTCCTTTCCTTTGAACACCCTTCCGTGCGCAACATCGAAACCGTATTGTACCAAGCACCCTGCATTTTTTCTCGCCCGCAAGCTATGGTGAGAGACAAAATTCAACGGAAGCCGAACGTCATGCTATTTATCTCTCGACTCACCGCTCCAGGTGCTCCTTAACATCGTCATCCGTCAGGCCGAGAGCCGACTGGCACGCCCCCGGGTTGCAGAAACAGCCCGTCCGCAGCTGAATGTTCTCGAGGCTGGCAATCTTTTCCACCTCCGCGTGCCCGACGTGCTGCCCGCCTGGCCGGAGAAAGGCCATCGTTAGCACCGGCCCCTGCCCCACGAACAGGCTGTGTCGCTTTATTTCGGTGTCGGCCACTCCCTGGCCCGCTTTTTCTGCCCCGACCCCGTCGGCTTCTGCTTCCCGTCGTTGCTCCGCCTCTCGCGTCTCTTGGAATGGGCGGCCGTTGTTTCCGTTCCTTCTCTCTGCTGCGCCTGACACATTCGGTAAATCGCCCCCCGACTCCATCGGCCCCGCCATAGCAGGGGACATCGTTGGCGACACTGTTGACGGTGGCGCCTGTCGCGGTGCTGCTGGTGGTGGCGGTGCTGATGCCGGTGGTGCCGACCCCGCCCCCGATGCCTCCCCGTCCCACCTGCCGAAGAACCTGAGCACCGGCTCTCCGCTCGCGTGCCGCAGCGATGAGAGCTGCGCGTATAGATAGCGCGCCAGGGACGACGTGTGGGTGGCGATTGCCTGCATTCCACCGACGCGTGTCAGCGCCCCAAACCCCGCCTGAAGACAGCGGAATTCAGCGCAGCGCGCTGTCGTTGTTGGAGAGACAGGAAAAACGAGCGTGGAATTCCAAAACGAACAAGAACCAAAATTCGACAGCAATACGTGCGCGGCGAAGAGTGATAGCGTGCGCGCGTATCACCCTGTGCCGTACTTAAGAGCCAAGCAAACCTGAGCAAAGTATCACACAAACATTCCAACGTTTCTCTCTCTCGCCCCCGGCGCGTGTGCCCTCTCCTGTCTCTCTCGTCTTATCGACCGACTTTGCCGCCGTGGCGCACATACCTGGAGAGCCAAGACGCCGAGAAAGTTTTCGGTGCCGTCGGTGAGCCGCCGTTCCGTTTCCGGACGAAGCTGTCGAAACGGGCCGCCGGCAAGGGCGGCCGCCACGGTGCCGCCGCCGAAGTAAAGCTTTCGGAGCACGTGCGCGGCGCTCTCGCGAACGATCAGGGCGCCAAGGCCGGTCGGGTAGCTAAGGTGATGCAGACGTTTGGTTCGGCCGAGCCGGTTGCGGTGAGGAGGAGGAGGGTGAGGCAAGGATGGAAAGAGACCGGTGGAGCGACGGGAGAGTTGTAGTGCAGCTTGTCTTGCCTTACCGTCGTGGGCACAGCTGTGGCACGGGGTACTTGTCCAACACCACATACAACGCGAGGACGCGTTTAACATACTCGGTTTCCTGATCTTTGCTCTCCTCGCCACAATATTGGACCCCTTGGCTTACAAGCGCCGCACTCGACAAGAGCCACAACAAACTCACCCGAACATCTTGTAGAAAGATATACAAACAAAATCCGCCTCGACGCTGGACAGGTCGAGCGACGCCGTGCCCGCAAACTTTGCTGCGTCTAGCAGCACCCACCACCGTTCCACGAGCCGCCGCCGCCGCCGCCGCCGCCGCCTTCGTCGTGGCCTGTCGCCCGAAATAGCCGGTTCATCGTCATCTCTTCTTCCCTCTTCTCCGGAATCGTTGGTGTCGTCGAGACGGTCAGAGTCGAGCCCCTCCAGAGCTCGCCGGCCTCTATCGCTATCGGCATGGGTGTTTCTGACATGGCCTGGTGAGGTGGCATGGCGAGGAATAGCGAATTCTCCGCAGTCATGGTGAGAACAAGAAAGATGGCCGCCATGGCGACAGTCGGAGTTCCGGCGATGTCGGCCGTGGGAGCGCCGGCAGCTATGTCCGGGCGTAGAGAGGGCCCCTTGCTTCACGCGCCCGGCGATGCCCAGGTCGGCACGTAAGCCCGTGGCGTTACACTCTGCGGGAAAAGCAAACAGGGAGTGCACGACCCGCCCGTCGTCTTCGTCATTCTCAGCGTCGGTGTTGCCACTGTCGCTGTCGCTGCTGGTATCACCGCCGCCATATCTACTACCGCCACTAGTTCCTCCGTTGTTCACCGTGTGGTTGTCGTCGCCATTCGAACCAGAGGTAGAGATGCCAACAGCCGTGCTGGCGCTGGTGTTGATCGGTCTTCCTGAGCGGGTACCCCCGCCGCTAGCTTCGCCACAGCTGCAACCACCACTATCGCACCAGTATGTGTCTCTCTCCGTCGGTACCCCCTTCTCGTCCCGCACTTCCCCCTCCCACCTCCCCCGTGCTACCTGCCCTCCCGCCCGGTCGTCCTCAGCATACGTCGACGAGACGTAGCAGCCTCTGCCCCTACTACCAACAACGCCGTCCACGCCGAGTTCCAAGTCCATGCATTGAACGCCGGCACCAGCGGCGCGGGCGTACTCACGGATGCCGAGAACCGAGCTGTGGCTCCTCCGCGCGTGGACGAAACGGGACCCCCCCCTTCCGCTTCCCCTTCGATGTCGTCGCCAAGGGAACTGCTCGCCGACCATCTTCAGGGCAGAGGTCGCGCCCGAAGTGAACACCACGCTCCACTCTTGGGGGGACACGCCAAAGTGTTGGAGGACGGCGTGGCGGGCGGCGTCGATGCGTTCTCCGGTAACGGTTGCGACGGGACCCTGTCAAAACGTTGGGGGTCGGGTGTTGTTGCTTGGTTAACAACCCCTTTGGGCCTACGCTCCGTTTCGACGTCAACTGGTTTTTTCCACCGCAGAAAAAAAAAGAGACAGAAGTGCAGAGAAGGAGGCAAAGTGTAGTTCTGTAGACGCAACAGCTATCTCCACCAATAGGTCATGCGAGCAGCCCGCGACAGGGTGGTGGCCACAGACAGAGTCGTAGAAGGGTTGACGGGTGGTCACGCTGCGGCCGGTAGGGCAGGTAGCCTTGTAGACCTTGAAATGATTAGTCGTGTAGCTGCTTCAGCTACGCTATTTTCAGTATAGCCTAAATTATCAGTGGAGACGGAGATAGCGCTGCCTCTGCGGTGGACGTGTCTTCCTACGAACCAGCTCCCTCTGCCGCTGTTGCTGCCGCTTGCCAAGCGGCCGAAGCAGCGGCCGCACCTCAGAGTGGAGACAACGCGCAAGGAGAAGAGCACGTATCCCCGAAAACGATAGACCTCGCAAACTTCCTGCCCAACCCTTTGCTAAAAGCCGATTGTATGCGGCAGACGTTTCCCACGTTTCAGTTTGAAGTCCAGCCCCAACATGTATGCATAGTTCGAAGTACTAAGATATGAAAGAAATGTTCAAGTTTTTTCCCCATTGCCATGAAAACCTGCTTGCAGAGGCAACTGAGCTTGCTCTGATTCGATCGCAACAGTACAGTGTATGCACACATAAACACTTGGCGGTACAACGTAAAATTATCTGGTCTACACTACACCGCGACACAACCACCCTGCCTCTTGCACGATGGCGAACAGCGGTATTGCTTCGCGGCCACATCACATCACAGCGTGTGACTCTGTTGTGTTCGTGATGTCCATATTGAACACACCACTACTACTTCCATGCTGCGGGACCATGTGCGCACGTCTGATGCGTACTTCCGATAGGGTTTGGGTGTGACAAGGTACGTGTGGTTGCATAACGCTCGCTCTTGTAACCCACGGCCTTCAAAACAGTCGTATCGATATCGATTATCGATACTCGATACGTATCGAGCCATTTTCAGAACATGGAACAAAATATCGGTATTTACGTTTTTTGTCTCGATACGGTCGGCGTATCGTATCGAACCTTATTTTTCGGACCAGTCTCCAACACTACCTCCACGGCTTGCCACCACACCAGCATTTGCAAATGATCAATCAATGATCGGTCAGTACGCCTGTAGGCCCAAACGAGTTAAGGAGGACTGCCCTCTGATCCCGGATGGGTTTGGTGGAGGTCGTGATATCAATCTGTACAGAAGATTTCCCAGCATTTGTGGCCTAACAGGGCGGAGTCCTTGTACGCGCGCACTCCCCAAGTGTGTCATGTTTTGTACGAGCGAGTCAAAAATTATTCATAGTTTTTCCACGAAGAGGCCCGACCCTCTCATCTTCGTTGATTCTGTGCCCTCGGCGTAGCTTACGGCAGACTTGAGAGTACTCTGTTTTGAGGCACAAGTACTTTCTGATGTTTCGTTGTTTCGTATCAGCATGTGTGCGTACTTCACAGCAATGCTTCGGGCATTTCGTCAATTACAAGTTCTCTGTTTTCGCGGGACCGTTTTGTACGAACCCTTGAAATAACCAAAATACTTTTCGTGTTGAGTCAACATGTCGGAGCGCCACAAACATTTTCCTGCGGGTGGAAGAACTGTCGGCTCCTGTCTGTACCATGGACACATTCTGCTACAAATCTCCAGAACTGTCTGAGGTACGTACCTGAGAGTGCGGGTTCCCGTGCACGGCCCCGGCAAGCAAGGGCTCCATAGCCTCCCTCAGCTGGGAGACCCCGGAGAGGGTCGCCCCTGCGTGATCGAGGTAAACCAGGTCCACCTGTTGTTGCTGCTGCTGCTGGTGTTGCTGCCGCCGCCGACGGGTTGACGTTGTCGCTGTGGCGTCAATTACTGGCTGTAGAAGGCTAGGAAAATCATGCTCGCGGATGGAGTCTATGGGCAATCGGTGTAGGCCATCGGCAGCGGCAGTGCCTTCGACAACTGACCGGTAGCCGTACTCCGGATTGTTTCTGACGAAGCCTATCTTTTGGGGCGAGCCCATGGCATCGCTCATGGACATGTCGCTTGTCCCGGCCCCTAGGCCTTCATGGGAAGGCATTGCGAGGTTCTGAAGCCCTGGCTACACAGCTCGAGCATCACGTATAGGCGGAGGACAGCTGAGCAGAGATGCGGGTTTCCAGACGCGGTCAAATAGCGATTTCCCGAATGTGCGGTTCGAATTTAGAACCTCTCCGAAATGACGAAAGCATCAGCTGGTTGTCATGTTCCTTGACACACAGCAGTTCAGGACAACACGTGTCATCCTATCATCCTAAAATCCTAGGGCAGTGCACGAAACGCAGACCACGCCTCTCGGCAAAACAAATGGACCACACGCGGCTGCCCGCCATGAGTGCTAGGATGCTGGTGCTGGCGGCGGTGGTGGGCTCCCTTTGGAATCTCGTGGGCTCCTTCGCGTTCGTGACTCCTGTCAAGACCAAGACACGACTTCAACTGCGCAGCCTTGCCGGCGGCACGACGTTCGTTCAGCCCGCCGACCAGAGCAGGTAAACGCCCAGAGTGTGCGATCTTGTGGCTGTATTCAGGCGTGCATGTTGTGTGCATGTTTGGTTGCGCGAGATTTGTCTTGTCCCACGTCGTTCGTGTGTGATGCTGCTCTGCTGCACCGCTGTTCTCAGTCGCGCCCCACGTCCTTTCTAGAACAAACATTTGACAACGCGGATCAACCACGAACACACATGATGATCTTATCTGCCCCTGCGTACATGTGTGCGCATATGCGTATGTAGATTTACAGCACAGAGAGCCACAACCCTCATCACGACGCACCAGACCAAAGAGCAGTAGTGACTGACGCCATGTGCAGCGGGGTCAGGCCCGCCCCATGGCGGTGCATATGTGAAAAAAAACGCCGACACATGTTCTTGCCCTAGACTACAGCACAGAAAGACACGCGGCGGTGTTCCCGTGCAGTCGAGGTGCGAGCAGAGAGTCGGTCTCGCTCTGGCTCGGTCCCTTCCTTTCTGGCCGCTCGTTTGAACGCAACCTAAAGACGACAAGTAGCACTTGGTAGACTTCTCTCATTCTCTCGTGCGCTAACCAATGCCAAAAGTGAATGACCTCGTGAACAAAGCAGGACGACTGCTGTGTCCATAGCAGTTTTAGACTCAAACAGCTGTCGTTCATGTACAGTAGATTCCCACGACTCTGTCCGTGCACCCTATGCTTCCGTGAGGCCACCGTGAGGATGCTAAGAGAGTTGTCCACGGGGCGGCATTCTCCATGCCAGCAAACACCCCCATCACTCGTGTGTGTATGTTTGTGTATGTACTCACGTTTTGTTTAATACGCACGTGCCAACTTTTTTCAATCCCCTCTCAACTCCACTCCCAGGGTGCGCACCGCCGGCGTCGGCTGGGCGCGATCGCCGATCGTGAGGCCGCCGGTCATCAGACTCTCCTCCTCGTCCAGCGGTGACGGCAACGACGGCAAGGAAGCGGCGGGGGGAGGGGGCCCGGACGCCCTCCAACGGGAAATTGACAGCATACGGGAGGCGCGAATGACCGCCGGCCAGATCAAGGTGGAGCTCGACGCGCTAGGGGTCAGCTACGTGGGCCTGCTGGAGAAGGCGGAGTACGTGCTTGCGCTGGCAGAGGCTCGGGTTTCCGGTGGTGGCGGAGGCGGTGGGCAGACAGGGCCAGCAGAAACAGGCGATGGTGCCGCCGGGGAGGCATCGTCAGCGAGCGGTGAGGTCGACACCGACGCGGCCGCGGCTGCGGCCGACGGCCCGGAGGCCGGACAACCGCCGTCTGCGACGGAGGCCGGAGAGTCCATGCCCGCGGCCGACGACGCTGTGGCCGAGGCGAAGGCGAGGCTCGAAGAGGACGCAAAAGCCGCCGCCGCCGCGGCGAGAGCCACCGAGGCTCAAGCCGAACAGGCAAGGGCCGAAGAAGAGGCGAGACGAGAGGCGGAAGAGCTTAAGGCTCGCCAGGAGGCGGAGGAGGAAGCAGCCGCCAGGGTCGCCGCCGAGGAGGAGAAGGCTGCTGCTGAGCTGAAGGAGAAGCTGGAGGCGGAGGCGGCGGCCGCCCAAGCCGCCGCCGAGCGCGAAGAGGTGGGCTAGTTCGCTGCTCGCGTGTTCGAATTGTGTACAAATTGACCGCCTGGTAGCACGTTGTTTGCTGTTGTTTTTTGACAGCGTGTTGTACACCGGCACTGCCGCCATCAAGAACCAACACCGCTTGTTCTTCTCGGCGTGTTCGTGTATGGGTGTGTCTCGTGTTGGTGTTCGTCGCAATCAGGCGCTGCGCATCGAACAAGAGAAGGAGGAGGCCGCCAGGATAGCTGCCGAAGCCCAGGCCCAGGTACACATACGTGCATACCCGGTATCAAACACGTTCGGAGGATTCGCCAAAATGTTGTTGATGGGCGTTGAAACGGCAACCCTTGCGATTGCACCCTCCACGTACCCTTCATCTATCGCGAACACAAGTAACATACGGTGAGGGTGATTGCTCACTTTTTTTTTATCTTCAATTCCCAAATTTAGCGGTAATGCACAAATCCCGCGATTCTTGTCGCCGCTGAGTCTCGCGCTGACTTGGCTCGCGTTGCGTGTGTGTGCGTGTGCGCGTGTGTGTGTTGTATCTCATCAGGCAGACACGGAGGCCGAACTTGCCGCTGAACAGGCGGCCGCCAAGATGAAGGCCGAGGAGGAAGAGGTACAGTGGTGTAATAGCCAAGCCCCCCTGCTGCGTGCAGTGTACATGTTGTGATAACGTCCGGCTGGAGTAATACACCCAGGCGTTATGCGTAAGTTGTTGTTGGTTCTTGTGGTGTTGTGGAAGAGAGAGGGCACCTTGAATACAGAAAGGTTCTGCGCGGAGGGGCAGCACAAGAGACAGCAGCAGTATTGGTGTTTGGTTTATGCGACTGAGACGCGAAACGCCTTGGTATTCGTCACGCCTTTGCCTATTTGCCCTCTCTGTCTCTGTCTCTGTCTGTCTGTGTGTCTGTCTGTCTGTCTCTCTCTCTCTCTCTCTCTCTCTCTCTCTCTCTCTCTCTCTCTCTCTCTCTGTCCGTGCTCTTCGGTATGAGATACTCGTTCATCTCATTCATCTCATTCATCTGTGTTCCCTGTTTGTTCCTGTTGTCAACGCCCCCGCCGGTGTGCCAGGCGGTGCGCGTCGAAGAGGAGAAGCAGAAAGCTCTCGCCGAGATGGCCGAAGCCGAAACGAAGGCAGCCGCCGAAGCAGAGGCTGCCCAAACAGAAAAGGATACAGCTGCTGCCGCGGCGGCGGCCCCTGCTGCTGCTGCTGCTGCTGCTGCTGCTTCTGATGATGTCGAACAAGAGGAGCCAGCTGGCCAGGAAGAGGAGACTCCGGAGCCGAGCGCAGAGGGGGAGAAGGAAGAGGAGAAGGGGGGAGAGGTGGCGGGAGAGGAGGTTTCCATGGACCCGTCCGGAGCACCGAATGCCGCAGAGGAGAAGGAGGATGAGGTTGAGGAAGTAGTCTCACCACCCCCTGAGGACAAGGAAGCGCCGCCGCCGACTCCTTCGGAAACGGTGAGTGCTTTGGGTAACTGATCGATTTGGAGCACGTGGAGTGGAGCGTTTGCACTACTTTGTGCTACGCCACGCGTATACTGCTGTGGACGAGAGAGAGGTGGCGTGTGAGAAGAAAAAAATATATGGGACTGCACGGGACGTGTGGCGCACCCATCTCGAAGTCCGCGCGATCCACTGGCTTCCCCGCGCGCGACCTCTGCTTCCTGCTCCAATTTCCATTCGCGGCGGGTGGTTTCTACACACATGTTGACACAACCTTATCCTTCCACCACGTCAACCAACCCAATGGCAACTAACGCAATGACAAACCACTATTACTCATTTGTCGGCCCAGGATGAGGCAAGCGCACGGGCGTCCGAGACCCCTTCACCGGACACGGCCGAGACCGCGGCGGTAGCTCAAGACACCGCCCCACCGCCGGCGGACGAGACGGCAGACACGCCGACGGAGCCCGGGACTCCTGCTCCGGAGACCACCGAAGCCGCGACGCCAGCTCCCGAGGGCGACGCCGCCGCCGCCGCCACGCCTCCTCAAGTCGACGAAGTCAATGGCGGCGACGCAACGGACCCGCCTTCTGAGGACGACGCAGGCTCTGAGACCGACGCCGCTCCTGCTGCTGGTGATGACGATGACGCCGAGGAGCAAGCCTCTGGGGGGGGCGGCGGCGTGGACGCGCAGGCGGCCAAGATCAGGGAGGCTCGCATGACCGCGGGGCAGATAAAGGCGGAGCTGGACGCCCTGGGCGTGGGCTACGTGGGCCTGTTGGAGAAGTCGGAGTTCGTGATGAAGCTCGCGGAGGCGAGGGTAGACGGGGGAGGGAAGGCGGCATTGGAAGGGGAGAGTAGTGATGCGGTGGAAGAGGAGGAAGAACAAGGTTCGGCCGAGGAGGCGGGAGGAGAGAAGAGCTCTGACGCCGCGGACACTGCTGCTACTGACGCTACTGCTGCTGCTGCTGCTGCTGCTGCTGCTGCTGCTCCCGCGGCTGGCGATGAAGGGGAGCCGGCCGCCGAGGAAGAGGTCTCGTCGGAACCGTCGACGACGCCGCCACCGCCTGCTGCTGCCGCTGACACGGCCGAGGCGGAAGACGAGAAGAAGGAGAAGGAGGAGAAGGAGGAGGAGGAGGAGGAGGAGGAGGCAGCGTCGTCTGCCGGAGAAGACGCCGCCGATGAGGTAGGTGACCTGGCTTGATGGAGCCAAGATTGTCTGTTCCGCGGTTTCGCCTCGTAGTGCACGTTTTTTCGTGTTGGTGTGTTCCTTGTTGTTTCTTTCTCGGCAGTGTTATTTCTTGCTGTTGCTCACTCGACGGCAGGAACCCTTTCTCCAGGTGGTGAAAGAAACCCGGTTATATTCCTCCGCAGCTAGTAAATAGAGGTGCACCTGCGTGTTTCGTGTTACATCACCGTTGCTCTTTTTGCCCCCCCCCCCCCTGCGGGAGGTCCCGTGGTTTGTAAGTCAACGCCATGCCCTGGTTCCACAATTCCCGTCTCTATGCGCTTCGATGCCCTGCGGAATACGACAACCGTACCCCGAACCACAAATCTATACACCTACACAATAGCACACATTGCACGCGTACTCTGATTCCTACTCGACAGCGTTCTTTATTGCTCTTCTGCCTATGGTACCGCCAATGACTGTTGCCAATAGTGGTCAGCCGTTTTGGTGCTGTCAATGCCAGCGAACGACTTACCCCACACACACACGCTTTGGCACGGGTGTTGCAGGTTTCCGCGATGCGCGTCTCCGCGATAAAGAAGGAGCTCGACGAGCGAGGGGTCGGATACCGAGGGCTCTTCGAGAAGTCGGAATTCGTTGACCTCCTGGTCGACGCTAGGGCCAAGGGGATCACCGCACCTCCGCCATCATCGTCCGGCGACACCGATGGTGGTGCTGGGAGCGGGGGGGGGGCATCCGCCCAGGCACAAGACAAGGCCGACGCCGCCTACAAGGACGTCGAGGTGAGGAGAAGACTTGGAAGAGATGCTCCCAGGGATGGGTCTAGGTTGGCGCGGGAATCAAGCCAGGGGTTGGTATCTGGGAATATTTTGACGCATTGATATTTGTTCGGTGCCCCTGGTGTTGTTCGCGTTTGGAGGGTGTGCTAAGGGACCAGGGGGCGTTTGCCTTTGAAGAGAGTGAATGGAGCCTCTTGTTGGACGTCGCCCCTCTCATTGTGCTGATGACACGTCAACACTTTTTGCGTCCTGGATAACACTTGACGCAAGGCACCTGCAAACCGCGAAAAAAATCGCTTGCCTCTCTCTCAGCCGGCGCCAACTCGCTTTTTCGAAGGCAAAACAAGTAGCCGCATCCACCGCAACTGTTGTCTAGCCATCGTGATCGCAGATGCGGTAGATAACACCGGTGAGGTATGTGTGTGGCAAGTGTATCTACGCCCTTTTTGACTCGACATTGAGGCACGGCATATTTAACCACACACCCCCAACTCAGCAGTTTCATCCACGTCAACGAAACATCCAGGATTCCCACCACCTACCCGCCCCGCGGCTCGGGTGTTTGCCCCTTTTGCTGCTGAAAGTAGGTGAAGAAGATGAACAGCGACCCCTCCGGCGGCAGCGGCGGCGGCGGCAGCGGCCAACAACAGCAGCAGCCCGGAGGCGGCGGTGGTATGCCTGGGGGCATGCCCGGCGGGATGCCCGGCGGCGGGATGCCCGGGGGGATGCCCAACATGGGCGGGGGCGGGGGCGGTGTCAACATCAACGACATCTTGAGCGGCCTCGGGGGTATGGGCGGGGGCGGCGGCGGGGCCGCTGGCGGGGCGGGAGGGGGAGCCGGTGGCTTCGACATCGGCAGCATTCTTGGCGCGATGGGAGGAGCAGGCGGTGCGGCGGGGGGCGGTGCGCCAGGAGGAGGGGGGGGCGGAGGGATGGGAGGCATGGGTGACATGATCGGGAAGATGATGAACAACCCGAAGGCCATGGAGGCGTTCCAGAAGGCGCAGAGCAATCCAAAGGTAAGTTTTATTGGCGTGTTTCAGGTCGACGAAATGCGGTCTTGGTTGTCTTGCAAGAGAGAGAGAGTTGGGCTGGCTCACTGTGCACCCGCCTTCGCCCAGACGTAGGCCATGAGCATTTGTACATACTCTCTTCCGTTTGTCAGATTCGGAAGGACACAGTGGTTTAACGATTGTGAGGAAGGAGGACTGATAATAAGGTAAAACAGCTCTTGATGATCAGCATGCCGCCACATGCTCCCTTGTCCCTCCCTGTGCATTTCAAAATATGACGACCATTTTTATTGTTGTTGCGTGTTTCCTCTACTCCTGTTTTGATATCCTGGTGCCGCGTGTACGCGACGGCACGTAGGTCATGGCCGCCATCCAAGACGTTACCCAGAACGGCATGAGCGCCATGTCCAAGTACCAGGACGACCCCGAGATCTTGGCGATCATCGAGGAGCTCAAGGGCTTGTTCTGAGAGACAAAGGGTAGGGGGGGCAAGATTGCCACACCACCGCAGGCTAACAGCAGCTTAGTACCACCATCGATGACAACGTAGTCTCGGAACCCTGGCACCGACAAAGGGCACATGCACGCCGTCGAGTGAGAGTAGACAAGCTCTCTCCCGCTGCTGCTGCTGCTGCTGCTGCCGCTGTTGCAGCTGAGACTACGTGGCTGCAGCAGCGGTTGTCGAAGTCGTACGTAACACGACAACAAGAGGAGAATAACTCGGCTCCCGACAAGCAGCGGTACAACAGGAGCCGCACGTAGCAGTAGTGATTGCGTTCGCATGTGTGTAGACTTTAACGTCTTGCGTACGAACGCGTTCGTGGTATCATGTACGGTGGTTTGGATTGGACGGCGCCGAGTTCGCAATCGGTATTGTGCATTTGTAGGCTGAGACGAGCCCTGCCCATACGAGGCTTTCGTGCTTCGACACACTGCCATCTGATGATGCTTGTTCTTCTTGGTTCCTATTTAGCCGGTGCGGGTGTGTAGCAAAGTGCGTTTCGTTCGTTGTGCGGTAGAGGTGCCTGAGAGTATGGAACTCTAGAACCCTAGTAGTTAGTTGGTTACAGACTTAGCCGGAGAAGGCATATGACAACCATGCTGCTGCCGCTTCCGACGCGCCGGTCATTGTGTGATTGTAAGCTCATTTAGTAGCGCAAAAGTAACATCGAAAAGAGACGGGTCCACAACTACTTTTGTGGTTGCCTGGAAGGCAATGCTGTTACGTGCCGCTGCACAGCCGCGTTGAACAGGTTGCGAACGCAGCGCGGCACAGGCTGTCCGTGTGTTTGACGGCAGCATGATCGAAGACGCGAACCTGCCGCCTGTCGATTGGTGTGCAATGCGACCATCATCCGTGACTTTAGTCAGCCTGGCTAATGCTCACACCTGTTCCTCCTGAGGGATGGTACCCATGCCATCGACAGAAACAAGCCCCCCCCCGTGAGGAGGCGAATGAGAGCCTCACGTGCTTAGGTGTTTTCATCGCCCACTCTACTGCATCTTCTTTCATGTGAAAAGTGTTCATGTGTTGCGCTTTCCTCAAACAGTCTTTGAGCTTATTTCTCTGTCCCAGTCTTGTTTCGCCAAAAAAAATAAAAAACAATCATCCCACCAGCAGAACCAACAACCACCACCACACACCAGTGCCGTGTATGCAACCGTCCCGTCGAAATGCGAGCACACGGGAGAGCCTACAGTACGATGCTCTTTTCGACGCCTCGTGCGATGCCCAGCGGTCATCATGGACCCCATTGCAGAGGCCTCCGTAAACAGACAAAAGATCGACTGTTGTACGGTGGATGGACCGAGGGCAGAAAAAGAGACAGCAGCAGAACAAACTCTTCTCGTGAAAAACCCGATGAAGGAAGAAAAAACAAAATGCAAGTGGAGAACAAGGAAACACCGTCACTACGAACCCGGCTTGTGGTGCTTCCAACGTTAACGTTGCGCAACACTGACGTCACACCAGAACGCACATCACATCAGATGCAACCACGAACACCAGTACTTGCATCATCTACTTAGACTATTGTTTGTCCGATCCGTCGCGCTTTGGTTCGATGCAGACAAAAGAAAATTGAATACCACGGATAGATGTATGCGGCGCTGACCAGGATGGGCTGAAGGTCTCTCTCAAGGCACGACAAAAAAACTAAATGACGGCATGCGTTTATCATGAGTGCATCACTCAAGGCAACGAATCCCGTCATCTAGCTTTGTCTTGCCTTCGCAGAAACAAACCTTCGGCTCGTCGCGTAAAATAAAAAAGAGTCGGCTACCCCTCCCAGACAACGAAACATGAACGAACCCGGCATTCATGAAAAAATCACCAACCACGCGGGGCCGCGCACCTCCGGAAATAAGCCCCGCGCATTCCTCTCGTTTCGAAATCAAAACTGTTCCCAAGAGCTCGCGCCCCGCTACGTAACCAAGTCGATCACCAACCACGGAAAAAAGACACCACGCACGCGCTCAAATGTCAAAATAATTTTCGCCGCGATCAGCAGGCGATCACGCACAGCACACGTAGTGCAGTGCGGATCCTCCCGCAATCGGCAGCAAAATTTGACAGAGCTGCGGAATGCCAGTTCAATTAACCGAGTTTTTATCGCCAAGATCATGTCAAGCAAGTAAACGGACCAACACCGGGACTTAGCCGCAATCTCGAAAATAGTTCGGCACCACTGCACACCCAGCAGGTTCGAGTAAGAATTTTTCACACGCGAGATAAACTCCCCGAGCTTGAACGGAACGGAAGAAAAAAAAAGAAGCTCGCTCTTGAAAACCGAAGAAACAAATGCTGTTCCACGAGGGAAGCAATGAAAAACAAATCAGCGCAAGCGCAGCAGCACCAAAGGCACACAAAGTCGGCGGCTGCGTCTCCAAAACGGGATACACAAGAGAAGGTCTAAACCTTGCACCCAACAACATGCAGGATTGATTCTACATGCCAGCCAAACTGTCAAGAGATCAAACAGATCCGGCACGCGCATGTAACGGAAAGACTCCACACTTTCACGAGCTCTGAACCAAAACCAGGGCAAGCTGCCACGACCACAAACACACGAAAACAAGGACAACGAATCAACAGGACCAAGTCAAACCCCGTCTAGGGTAGGCGGGCTGGTGCCACTGCTGTAGGCGTCATCCTCTTCAATGCCGAAACCCCCCTCGCCGCCGTCATCGTTGACCTCCTTTCTGTCCACCGCTTCGCCCGCGCCGGCCGTGTCCGTGTCGTTCTCAACGGTGTCCACGCCCGTCACGGTACGGTCGCTTGCGGCGTCGCTGGTGCTGGTGCTGTCGCTGATGCTGGGATCGGTGGTGGCGTCGTCGGGGGTGCTGGCGTGCGTAGTGCTGGCGTCGCTCATGTGGCAGGTTGTGAGCTCGTCCTCGACCTCCTTCATCCTCTGTTGCGTTCTGGCCTCGCGATTCACCGCCTCCGCCTTGTCGTGCTCGCAGCATGATACCTCCTCCACAAGGGTAGACGTAGTCGTCAACACCAGTCGCTGCACGGCCTCCAAGTGGGATCTGCAGTACAGTAAAAGGCGCGGCATTAGAGCAGCCGAGGCGTGCGCGGCGGCGGCGGTGGCGAGGGGTGGGGGTCGTGACTGTTCAACATCAAATCACGTCTGAAACCAATGGTGTTTCTGCATGAAAATCTGGTATAGTTGCCATATTGTACACGTCATCGAGACGGCACGTGACCACCCCAACATGAACCACAACCAACATCGCCATCACCAAGCACGCGCAACGAAAATAACGGCAATCACCAATACCACGCCAGCGGGAAACATGCTACTCCTATGCTTTGCATTTGCAATCGAAGCACGCCAACACGCACCGGATCATTGGATAGCCTGCGTGCGAGCCCCAGCGGTCGTCGTTGTCGAACGGGGGCGTGGCGCCGAGCACCGCTCCCTCCGCGACGTGCGCCAGGCTTTCCACGGTGGACGCCTTCTCGGCGACGTCGTCGGCCAGAGCGAGGGCGACCGCGAGAGCACGGGAGTCCAGGTCCTCGATGTCGGCACCGTAGGACTCAGCGATTGCGCGAGCCTCGTTCACCTACGTCGGTACATCGAGTGGCGACAGTCGAGACGTTGCAGCGGAGGAAGGGAGGGTGAGCGGGAGGTGGGGGGATAAAAAGGGTTGCCGTATGTATGGCTCTCGTTGTGCCAGGCTACGATACAGACATCAGTAGCAGTGCCAAGCGTCAATCGCTGTCGAAACTCCCATGTCGGCTGCTTACGTTCGTCCGGCACAAGGCCAGTTCATCCTCCAGCTCCTTCCTCGTGTCCGTGCCCACGTCCAGAAGGCACTGGAGCTCAATCTCGCGCTGCTCAGCTTCAGACAGCTCCTCTTCTATAGCGAGCGTGGATGCTCGAGCCATGGCCGCTTCTTGCTCGACCAGGCGGAGGGAGAGGTCCGATCGCTCAGACTCCTTCTGGGCCGCCAGTTGCTGCTCGGCGACGGTGTCGGTGAGGGCGGCGACGATGCCCTCGGCGGTGTCGAGCTTTGCGATGAGGTCGCCCTCCGTCCTCGCGGACGTCTCGTGGTCGGAGGCGGCCGTTTCCAGCACGTAATCGACGGTGGCTCGGAGCGCCTCCACCTCGTCACGGAAGTACTTTGCCTCGGCGGCCGCCTCGTTGCGGTCCGCCTTGGACTTGGCCTGCTCCGCCGTGAGCGCGCTCGCTTGAGCCGTGGAGATGAGCTCCTTCTCGTGCACAGTCCTCGTGAGGTCCTTGACGGTGTTCCTCAGCTTGACAATTTCCGCCTTCAAGGCGTTCGAGCGCCTCTGGTGGTAAGGTGGGGTGGACGAGAGGCAGCGCGGGGGAAAGGGTGTGGGAGGATGGGGTGAATGTTCGGGGTATCTATAATAGTAGGGGAGACACGTCGAAAGAACGATTTTCGGTGCAGCCACGAGGGAACAAAATGCTCTCGATATAACCAACCAAGACTTCAGGCGCAACATCGCTGCAACGTTTCCACGCATCGGGCACAACTGAATACAGCGGAATCTCACGATACATCGTCGACATTACCCCAGGGGTTTGGCACTGTCACAACCGCTGAGCTCGCTCCCTCACCCTACAGTACACGGGACAATAACGCAGGCTGCTCGGCTCTCTTATCGACGGTAAGTATCAGGACTCAGCGAATCAACTAAAATAACCCTGTACTCTAACACACCAAGCGAGGTCAACCACTCGAGGCGTTCTCGAGAACTGTGGAGGCCACGCGTCTCAGTGCTTTTCTCAACAGTTGTCCCTCCTTATACTATTGTATATCATCAATGCATCATTCGGCAAATGACAGGCGAGGTAGAACTTACCGCAGCATCCAGCGAAGTGGTCGAGACGTAGTCGACAACGGCGCCGGGAAGACTCCTGTCCGAAAATAATAATAATATGAAAACGGAAACAGGATGCATGCAACAAAGCACGGACAAATGTTGTGAGACGCTGTACGTAAGAAAAGGAAGTGCTCCAGTTGTACGGGGGAGAATCAAGACCTGCACACACGGGAGGGAATGGCCCGTGGCACCATCTCTCGTCGGAATACGAACCCCGATGTTGGACTTCTGCGGGAAGAATTCACCACATACCATACATAGGCTTTAGCATTTTTGTGACCACGGGCCGAGTCTTTGCTAGATTTTGGGATTAGCAACTGACACGAGTTTAATGTGAAGAAAAACAACAATTCAACACCAACAATACACGAACAACCTGTCAAAGCCATGCTCAAGACTTGGGGGCGGGGGGGGGGAGGGGGTGCTGCACGGAAAAAAAAAAGACACAGCGAGAAGGCATAGTGAAAATGCATCTGTTCCACAGCCCTTTAACCGAGAGACCCAAGCATGCAGGAAGCACTCCACTGGCGTATGGTATTCATTGCCCGCTTCTTTTCGGGGCGACGGATGACTACTGGGTCTCACACCACATGCCATCAGTGTGAAGGCAATAAAAACCAACACACACATGACGGAAGACGAGCAGCGTCTGCACACATCTCTCACCTAAAGAATGCGAGGACCCTCTCTTGCTGCTCCTGCTTTGCTACTACCATCGCCGCCTCCTCAATGGCGACGGAGCGGAAGCCCTTCGTGGCGGCCTCCTCCACCAGCCCACGGATAGTGTCGACGCTACCAGAGGGGGAGCTCTTGGTCGCCTTTGCCAGCTTCTTCATGAAGCGCTTCTCGTCCTGAACGAAAAGGAAAGGCGTACACAGTGGATCGAACGAGGGGGAGAGGGGGAGATTTTGATATTTGTCCAATGTCATACAACAGAAGAGGCAACAACGACGAAGATACGGTGCGTGTGTATGCAATCCATCTATCTTGTGTCGATTACAAGTATCTTGGCGGGGGCGGGCGGAAAAAAAAGGCGAGGAAATACATACGCATAGACTACAGAATTTTAATTCCCTGGGAGGTTTCGTTCTTCAGGCTTCGTTCGGAGTGTGGTGGATGCTTTCACTGTTGTTCTCTGGGCCTCTCGTCTGATTGCAGCAGGGCACAAACACATGCATTGGACAATAATTCTGGTGGTCTCCACAATATTCAAAAATTCAAATTTCAAATACTCTGCTCGCAGCAAGTGCCCGAAACAACGAAACATTTATTTCTATTTGTCCATGTAGACGTTCGACGGTACTGCCGAAAGCGGAGGGGCCAAATCCTCCTGCTACTACTCTGCGATCCATGCCATAACAATTCGATCCCCGTGCCGATGTGCAATATATGCGTTCAAACAATATCGTTCTTGAGTTTTTTCTCGCACGAAAAATATTGAATCCAGGTGGTGAAAACTATCTATCCGATCAGTACCCAGTACCAACGATTCGATTAATTCTGCCGTTTCTCTTGCATGCGGCGAAGCTGCGAACGGAAGTAAATCAACAGCAGTACCTGCCAGTAGTTGCTCTCGGTCCGGTGTCAATGCTGAATGCGAAAGACAAGGCGGATAATGTAGCTGTACTTGTCGAAAAAAGCAACAAAACCAAAGCCGCTTCAACTAAATATCTATCTCTCCGGTGAGAGAGCCAGGCACCACAAAAGGATGAGTGAAATTTCGAACATCGAACGACAAGTACGACTGACTGACTGACTGACTGACTGACAGACTGACTGAATGGTTGAACCCCAACAAGCTCTTCTTCGTCATCATGTGCAGACCATTTTTTCCCGTCCGTCCTCTCTTCTTCCTTTTTACATTTTACTCGCCTTTCCGTACGCCCGCTGCTGGCCCACGACGTGCTGGTAGAACGTCTTCGGCGTGGCGGGCTTCGCGGCCTGAAGGAGGGCGGTCTGTTGGGCCGTGACCGCCCGCAGGATCTCTGATTCGTCTTGTTCTTCTTTGTTCTGCCCGTTCGTCAAGTAGCAGTAGCAAGCAGCATGTCTCACAATTGTCACAATTGCTGCTGCAAAACTGCAAAATGTCCGTTCGTCCGTTCAACTCCCGGACAATCAATTCTTCACAATCGATCGGAGGGTTGAACAGGCAACGGGTGAAACACCTCCCGACAAATAACTTTCGGCAATCACGGTATATTGATTTGCTGGTGCAGCTACTTGTACGATATGCAGACTTGAAATAATTTTTCTTGCGGTGCACGGAGCAAACCCAGTATTTCTTGGGCGGTGGCAACCCAGGCAGACCGAGTATCATCAGGCGTTGACAACTAACGAGAGAGGCTTGTCTAGTACACTCTCATGTTGAGCAGGCACCATGCCACCTACCACACAAGCCATCTGCAACGTCCATAAATGTAGGAGTACTGCTGTGGAACTGCGATCGTCTACAGTACACAAACATCCTTCTACAATGAAATCTCAAGATAGATGAAGCAGAGCGAAACAAAAAACACTGTACGTACACACATCGGGCGAGATAAAAATGCTGAAAACCTCTCACGTCGTTCGGCTCGCCGCCCACCGCAACGCAGCCGGCCGCGCGGCACCCGCCCCTCCTCTTCTCCGCCAGGAGCATGGTGGCCCCGGGCGGGCACCTCTTCTCCCATTCCACCCGCGGGCAGGAAGGGGCCAGGCGGAGGTCGGCCTGTTGCCGAAACGCGAGCCAGCTAGGGGTCATGGACCCGTCGTTCATTGCTGCCGAGTTGAACCCCAGCCTGGGGCAGGCCACGGCAAGTTCTCCACCGCTGTAGAAGTGACGCACGCGACATCCGCAGGGAACAACGCGGACAGTGCAGTGTAGAACATGTCATGGACTGCACCAGAATCTACTGACGACGGCTGGCTGGACAAGGGCGCGGCAGGCACCCTTTGCATCCAGAAACAACGACAAAACAAGCGCATTTGAACGTCTCTACCGCTCTCTACACAGTAGTCTAGTATTTCTCCGACAGATCACCTAGATACCTGCGGGACCAACTGAGCGCGGCAATCAATTCAACAATCGCTCACCAAGGAGGGGGGAGGCGGTATTTCCCAAAATCGTCGAGAGAGCCGGCCTCGCCCTCCACCAGCAGAGCAGAGCAGCACTTGTCTTGTGGGGTGATGGCGTTGGCGGGCGCGTTGATGCCCTTGCCGTGTGCTCCGAACGCGAGGAGCATTGACAGCACCAGCAGCAGCAGCATCCAAGCCCTCATCTTTTCTTCTGACAACGAAAGACATGAGAAACCAATGCGTTAATTTTCAACACAACGGGTGTCCCTGGTTTATTGCTGACAAGGGCAACCAGAGCCGGATCCTGTACATATCGCAAAATATCCCATAACCCCTTGTGCCAGCGAGCATTGCACGTGTTGCCTTTGCCATCATCACGTGGGCGTTCTGCGGTACATTGTGGGTTGGTTGAAGCCAAAGAGAGCCAGCAATCTGGCAGTCGGTGGAAGGCAGGGGACGGGGGAACACCGGCATCTCGGAAGACGCTGTGCTGTGTTCTTTGGTTGGTCTTTGATCTTTCACCGCTTCTTTTCTCCGCCCCTTTTCTACATGGACGTTCTTTGTGGGGACAATTTTTCAACGAATGCCAAAATTTTCACCCGCTGGTTGGCATGGATGGTTCCTCTCTCCCGCTCATAAGTGTTGCGTGCTTGCCTGCCTTCGGATCCATATATATATGACACAGGCCAGGGGCGCTACTCTCCTCTTTCCCGCTGGGGGATACTGCTACAGTAGGTGTTTCAGAAAGCCCGTGGGGATTTTGGTTTCGTATGATGTAGCTCTCAGAATTACCGAGACTGCTGCGGCATGAAAGCTGACGACAGAGAGGATCGGAGGCGGACAAAACTCAGCCGCCGGTGGCGGAAAGAGCAGAATTAGCATGACGCGAGGGCAGATTCCTACGAACAAAGAATGATC